AAGTTAATAAGTTTTAAACGAGCCTATGACACTGATATAAGAAATATGAGCCTAAGCCAAATTCGAGAAATCCGAATAACGAAGCTTAAATCAAAGCCAGAGTTCGAAAAAAAAACTAGATAAAACCAAACCGAGTTCAAACATACGAGCCTAAACCAAGGCCAATAAACCGGGACAACCAAGCGTAAGTCAAAGCCACTGAGTTCGAACCACTAAGAAACCGAATCGAGAGCGATTTTTTTCGCTTCTAGTTTTTCTTTCTAAATGTCAGGATTCTGGAATAAATTCGGAATAATGTCTCATCTATTTTGAATAACTTTCCTGAGTTCTACTAAGTTATTTCTTGTTCCATTTCCCAAATATTCCCCCTCCATTCGAACGTCATATTTCTAGACTTCGATGTTTATTAAAGAAAATGTGAACTTACAAGTTGATTAATGTATGATTATATAATCGTAGATTTTATAATACAATCACAATTTTGTGTGCGTTTGTTTGTGTGTGTGTTTGTGAGTGTGTGTATATATGTTTGTACGTTTGAATATAAATTCAATAAAAGAGGACGACAGACGCGAAAGAATATCAGAAATCCTTATCTGAATCCGCCAAATGTCTTATCTCAAAGGCAGTTTCCACGAGATATTGTTATTCGCCCTCCAAGGCAGCGGCCGCGAGATTAAAAGAAAACCGCGGATACTTTTCCTTCAGATATCTTTGCATACATTTAAGTGAACTTCCCTATTTCTTTCATTACTTCTATTAGTGTAATGAATGTTTCCATCTCGTCGTGAATGTTTATCGTGTGGACGGAGAAGCGAAGAACAAGTTTTGCTTTTGTATGCATAGGCAATCAGCGTTCCCCGAGACAACAGATTTTGCACTTTCATTGCATGTATGAAATGCATACGCATATGCATAAATACGCAGATACACACACGCACACACACACACAATAATACATAATTGTACACACACACACACACACACACACACACACACACACACACACATACACACACACACACACACACACACACACACACACACACACACACACACACACACACACATACACACACACACACACACGCATACACACACACACACACACACATACATACATACACACACACACACACACACACACACACACACACACACACACACACACATACACACACACACACACACACACACACACACACACACACACACACACACACACATATATATATATATATACATATATATATATATATATATATATATATATATATATATATATATATATATATATACACAAACATAATTCCATTTCTTTAAAAGGCCAAATGACTTCCTTCACAATCCTTTACAGTTTATGTTCTTTTTCATGTAGTATAAACTTTAACGTCGGTAACTTATTACATATTTTTAACTAGTCTTCCATGTTTTATAAAGACACATTTTTTCACGAAATTACTATTCTGATATCAATTCTCTTATATGCATCTGTATCCGTTTCAAATGGCTTGTGGAATTCATTATCTTTCTCCATAATATGAATTCGTATTTATTAAAAAAAGACTGCGACTGATTTTCTTAATGTAGATATAGGTCAATAAGACAAAGAAATTTATCACGATTTTAGCAAGTCCGAACAACTATGCTAAAGTTAGAATGTCTAAATAACTAAGCCGACGTCAAAGCCAATAAGAGATTCCGCCAAATCCACCTAGTTCGAGTAAGTCGAGTAAGTTAATAAGTTTTAAACGAGCCTATGACACTGATATGAGAAAAATGAGCCTAAGCCAAATTCGAAAAATCCGAATAACGAAGCTTAAATCAAAGCCAGAGTTCGAAAAAAACTAGATAAAACCAAACCGAGTTCAAACATACGAGCCTAAACCAAGGCCAATAAACCGGGACAACCAAGCGTAAGTCAAAGCCACTGAGTTCGAACCACTAAGAAACCGAATCGAGAGCGATTTTTTTCGCTTCTAGTTTTTCTTTCTAAATGTCAGGATTCTGGAATAAATTCGGAATAATGTCTCATCTATTTTGAATAACTTTCCTGAGTTCTACTAAATTATTTCTTGTTCCATTTCCCAAATATTCCCCCTCCATTCGAACGTCATATTTCTAGACTTCGATGTTTATTAAAGAAAATGTGAACTTACAAGATGATTAATGTATGATTATATAATCGTAGATTTTGTAATACAATCACAATTTTTTTTGTGTTTGTTGGTGTTTGTGTTGAACATAATTATCATTGAAGTAGTTTGAAGATGAAGATAAGATTATGATAATGATAAGGAAAATCATGGAAATAATAATGATAACAATAATTATGGTATTAATGATAACAATAATACCTATAATAATGATTATAATAATGATGATAATAATGATAACAACAATAATGATGATAATGATAAAGAAAGCTAATGATAATAATAACAATAGCAACAACAACAATAGTAATGATATTAATGATGAAATCATGATAACGATAACA